CAAGGACGCTACTAGGAGCAAAGGGCATCGCTACTAGGAGCAAGGACCCTACTAGGGGCTCCTGGACTGAGCTTAGCACTTTGTCCTGCTTGTGTCCGAACACCAGCATCTCTCCGTGTCGATTTCGCATCTTGCAGGCAAAGCAGCAAAGATCTGGGAATTTGAAGGTTGACTGCAAAGCTATGCAAAGCAATCTGGAAGTTCCAATCTGGAACCCACCTTCTCATGAAGCTTGAGTCTGGCCAGCAAAGGCGCCAAGATGCGCAAAAGCCGTGGCTCGTCGATGAATGGCAAAAGAACAACAGCCTGACTCGCACACTCGCAGACTACAAAACATACGTAGTTTTATTCAAAAAGGACTCATGGTCGACCTCAATCAGTAAAGAAGCGTGTTTCGTCGGAAAAGCACAGATTCATCCTGCCTGCCAAGTGTAGCGTTTGCCGTTCAAGTCCAAGCCAAAATCAACCGGGTAGAAATCAATTAGCCTTAACGAACAGGTAATCACCCAGTCATCATGGGTCAAGCTGTAATTTGTGGTGTGTTGGAATTCGGGCTAGGAGTGTAAAGTGTAAGTGTACTGCATGCCAAGATGCGGGGAAAAGCTTTGCTTCATGAGCTCCCGCATTGCTGCAGGAATGCCAGCCTCACATTTTGCCCAAACTGTCTCTGGATCTGTTCAACGAAGACTAAGTTAAGTATCATTTAGAGTGCTCCAACCGGTAAGTCTGTGAGGCCGGTCTGAGGTGATACTCTCATCTGCCAAGCAGCCTCTTCTGCACTGACAGGAGGCAATACACTCATGAGCTGCTGGAAAGGTTGGAAGGGTTGTCCTGGCCTGCCAAAACGGACAGAACGGCCCAAACCTGAAAGAATCTTGCCATTCTACGTTGCTATTTGAATTTGTCATTCTGGTCCAACATGAGTAACATAATATTTGTTGTAAACAGCAATATGCTGGTGAGAACAGCTAAGTCAAGGCACTGGAAGTAATTGATCTCGCCACATTTGAGGTTCCCGCAGCCAATCAAATCTGACGCAAAGGGCCTCTAGTCACAAGCGGCACAGATTGGCTGCGGACTCTTCCTAACTTTGGACATTGAGCAGCTGGCGCATAGTGGTACGGATAGAACCACGTCCATGAAGGGCACCCCTTGGCTTCAAACAATTTTCCAATCAGGTGCACATTATTTATATATATATATAATCATATGGCCAAGGATCTCGCCTGGTAGTAGTAGACCAGAACCCAACATAAACCCTCCACGTAAGCTT